GTCTTGAAGCTGTCATTGACAACAAAGGCTTTTGTAAATTTCAGTAAGTGTGTTCAATACCTTTCCCCTGTGCCATTCCACATTATTACAAATAACTTCATTTCTGGACATTTATGGTTTGATTTCTTTGTATGTATGGATCACTTGGGTTGTTACCGACATCTGGAGAAAATTTCATGTCATTAGCACCTCTAGTAATATATTTACTGAGAAAAATGGTGACGTGTTCAATCCTTACTTTACCCGCTGTATAAAGAAATGACATCATGCTTGTAAATGTGGTTTGTTTCATTATCACTACTCAAATAGACTAATGAGAACAGATTTTTTTCTTTTCCATCAACAAAATATTGTATTTGTAATGACCAGTCACTTCTCTTATAAATACTAGAACATATGTGAGTTCTTTGCCTGTGTGCAGGGGCCATATACTGTATGCTACAGCTGAGCACTACTGTTTCAACTGACCTTTGTCTGAGATAACAATAACTCGTGTATTTTTGCTCATTTGAGATTTTGTCTATAGTGCATTATAATTACAGCAGCTGGTTGGAATGTTTTGCTAAATTAAAGAAATGTAAAGTTAAACATTTGAAGAGTTTACAGTTACACATAACAAAATAATGAAGCATCTAACATTTCCCTATCTTCCCTGTTGTTTTCTTTATCTGTCACTCCTCACTTGTGTCATCTAACTCTGTGTTTTTATCAGTTGTTTTTGTTTCCTCACCTGAAATTTCCTCCTGGCCACAAAGTACTGCATCCTGCGGAGAACTTTTACTGCTGATCTCTGCGAATGGGACAACCTGCGATAAAAAAGAAAAAGGAATTATTCTAAAAAAGGAAAAATAAAATAAATCACAGACATTGTGGCTGTAAATGTGCCCAATTCTGTGCAAGTGTAAGGACAAAAATGTGCATGCTAAAGTTGAACTTAAAGAAAAAAACTGTGCATTTATATAATTTAATAAATATTGCGCAAACTGTACAACAGCAAAGCACGTATGACTCCAGACCACAACACCATGTGGTTAAAAATACTGTACTTCAACACAGATTTCCTCATCTACCTCGCTCATTGTGACGGACCTTTTGGTCACAACGTTGAATCTGCAACCTTCGGCAATGTAAAAGAGAAGAAAAGCAGATTCTGTGTGCACTGCAGTAAGTTCAAAAACACCCATCCCTCAGCTCAAGGAGGCACATCTGTGTCAACACCAAGTAAAAAAATCTGGACCCTAACACTGAAACAAGAAAGTTATGGACGTAAACAACACACTTACTCATACTTGCATACCAAAGTGACTATCTGGCATGCAGTTGGATTTGTTTTCTCAAGGAGGCCCACAGTGTGTTGTGCACTGGTGCTCATTAGGTTTCGGGCTCCAAGTTCAAACGTGCACAACAAAGAACACTAAATTATAAGAAAAATGGAAAAGAACTTTTAAAAAGGCTAAAAGGGTAAGTCCTATTTTTGGTGAAACAGGTGGACAAAGTTCACAGCACCATCAATCAAACAAGGCACTTTACATCCCACTCCCTTTCAGCTTCCAGACCCGTTCATTCTAGTTTGATAGAAGGGTTACGACTATATAGCTGTGCAAAATTTACAAATTAATTGAAAGAAATGAAGATGGCCCATTAATGGCAAGTGAAACATTACAGTATGTAACAGAGCAAGTACTATTACCTCCACCAAGGGAGAGGAGGTAATGTTTTCTGTCGCGTTTGTCTGTCTCTTGTTCTGTCTGTGGACATTACTCAAAAACTTGTGGACAGATTGTCATGACATTTTTACCACTTGTGTGTTCTGGGCCACGGAACACACCTTTAAATTTTGGTGATGTTCTGGATCACGATGCGGATGCAGGAATTTTTTTTCTTTTAACACTCTGAGATCGGCAAAGCTGAGATGCTTTCACAGGGCTTCTGTAAAAAAC